GCGTTCAGTTTGTTGTCCTTACAGCGCACCTCCGATTAGCACGGTTGGCTACGTACGGTGCGAAAGAAGTTCAACGTACATACAAATATATCCATCTAACAAAAAAAAAAACATTTTCAACTTTCGGCACTCTCAAAATTACACGCAGCAGCCTCTTGTCAATCCACTGCTGGATGAAGGCCTTCTCACGCCGTGTTCGTCATGGGGGTGGTTGGATCATAACCCCCCCGCGCTGCTGCTTAGTGTGTGCTGGGGAAGGGTTGTGGCAGTTCAGACGTCACTCGCCACTGATGTTAGCCGTGAATGACTCGGAATTGAACTCAGGTCGCCACCAGGTTCACAGTGCGCAAATGACGCGCCACAACTCCCCTGGTCCCGACACTGCCCTACGTCGACGCAGCCTCAAATCAGTACCTCGTGCGGTTTGTCAACATCGCCACTTGGGAAGACAAAAAGGTCACCCACCCCGGCGTGGAACGTGCCGGCCTTGATTGGTGCTCGCTCACATCAATTGCCCCCCCCCCCCCAAGTATGCTAAGGATGTTAAACATGTAGGCTTTCGCGACCAATACAATCCATGATATATATTTTTTTTGCGTTCGATCGCGTAATTATTCATTTATATTTCGATTTAAAGCTTTCGTGACTGCAAGGATTCATCTTCTTTGGTTCTTTCGGTAAAGTCACGTAGAATGAGAATAAAATAATAATGTTGGAGCACTGTCGTCCCGACAGTTCTGTTCTTTCACCTGATGAAGGCTACTTGTGTTGTGGCCGAAACGTAGTGAGAATTTTATTGTTTTATTTTATTAATTTACATTTACGCTAACACAAAAAACCTGTATACGGGGGAACCTTTGTGTGTGTTATCGTTGTGTATCTGTGTGCGTGTGTTTATGCCCTTTTTTGTACTGATCATGTATTTAAATAAAGAATTAAAGCTTTTGTGACTGCATAAATTACTCATTGTTTTTTTCGGTAAAGTCACGTATGTAGGAATACCATGAAATTATATTAAAACGTCGTGATTGATTTGTTTTAATATAATTTTATGGTATTCCTACATACGTGATTTTACCGAAAAAAAACAATGAGTGATCATTTCTTTGTCAGTGGGCAAACGTACAAAATCAGCAGGGGATCAAATACTTTTTTTCCCTCACTGTAGTTTAAAAGCGTCCCCTGGTGCCCTGTGGAAAAATGTAATGACCCGTGGATTATTTTCTCGTCAGAAAGAAGACGCATTACAGTACCTGTGTATGTAGCTGCATTCCAAACTCACTTCATCTACAGGACAAACAAGTCTGGACACTGGACACCTTCTTACCCAATGCCCAGTGGCCAAAACACTTCATCTGTCCAATTACGCAACACGACGTGCATTGATTCTTCACCAGCACACTGGTTCAAGTAAACCCGACTCTGCTGATGAGACACCGAAGGTCGAAACCCTGTCCAGCGCCTGCTGAAAGTTACGGGCATCGCGGTGGTGAGATGTTAAAATACATCGCCTGGTATACAAGGGCCGTCCTTAAATGACGTCACGCGATTTTGGACAATTTTTTACCCCCCCCGTCACACGGCGTCACAAAAAGAAGCTCTGCCCCCCACACTCCCCCAAATAAAACATGCTTCAAATCGCTTTAAACTATTGCCATTGTAGTGCGTACTTAATGTGGCGCTGATGTTGTAGGAGAAAACATTCATTAAAAAGTATATTTAATTAAGTAGAACGTGTTGTCTATATTTATTTAAAGTTGCGCATTTTGATGTGACGTCACATTTCTCACCCCCCCCCCTCCCCCTCGTCACACATCGTCACAAATGTCTGACCCCCCCCCCTCCCCCCCCCCCAAGGTGCGTGACGTAATTTATGAACGGCCCCATAGGAGTTCGTGGGTTTAATTCCGACCTCGATGCCTGTATATTTGCAGTCTGCATGGTCTCCCCGTGATCGAGTGGAGTTTTCTCCGGCTCCCCCGTTTTTTTCCTCCACATTTAAAATCAACATCAACGTACGTTTAGAGTATTTGGCTGCGATACATTTCCATGATAAGCCATTTCGTTGAGCTATCCATTCGTGGCCAGGTCGCTTCTGAAAAAGAGCTTTATAGCTCAGTTGGCCTTACCGGGTAAAATATAATAAAAGTTTTACAGTAGTCAATTATAGTCTTGATTCTTTCGGTAAAGTCACGTAGAAGGGAAACAATAAAATAATAAAAATATGAAACGATAAAATTCTCACGACGTTTCGACTGCAACACAAGCAATCATCATCAGGTGTGAAAACCACAGCAAGAAAATTTAGAAAAAAGTGGCGTTTTATTTTATTTTTTCCCTTCTACGTGACTTTACCGAAAGAACCAAGAATATGAATCCCTGCAGTCACGAAAGCTTTAAATCAAAAGTAGTCAATTACAGTGAGGGAAAAAAGTATTTGATCCCCTGCTGATTTTCTACGTTTGCCCACTGACAAAGAAATGATCAGTCTATGATTTTAATGGTAGGTTTATTTGAACAGTGAGAGACAGAATAACAAAACAAATCCAGAAAAACCCATGTCAAAAATGTTATAAATTGATTTGCATTTTAATGAGGGAAATAAGTATTTGACCCCTCTGCAAAACATGACTTAGTACTTGGTGGCAAAACCATTGTTGGCAATCACAGAAGTCAGACGTTTCTTGTAGTTGGCCACCAGGTTTGCACACATCTCAGGAGGAATTTTGTCCCACTCCTCTTTGCAGATCTTCTCCAAGTCATGAAGGTTTCGAGGCTGACGTTTGGCAACTCGAACCTTCAGCTCCCTCCACAGATTTTCTATGGGATTAAGGTCTGGAGACTGGCTAGGCCACTCCAGGAACTTAATGTGCTTCTTCTTGAGCCACTCCTTTGTTGCCTTGGCCGTGTGTTTTGGGTCATGCTGGAATACCCATCCAAGACCCTGGCTGAGGGAAGGAAGTTCTCACCCAATATTTGACGGTACAAGGCCCCGTCCATCGTCCCTTTGATGTGAAGTTGTCCTGTCCCCTTAGCAGAAAAACACCCCCAAAGCGTAATGTTTCCACCTCCATGTTTGACGGTGGGGATGGTGTTCTTGGGGTCATAGGCAGCATTCCTCCTCCTCCTCCAAACACGGTGAGTTGAGTTGATGCCAAAGAGCTCCATTTTGGTCTCGCTGACCACAACACTTCCACCCAGTTGTCCTCTGAATCATTCAGATGTTCATTGGCAAACTTGAGACGGGCATGTATGTGCTTTCTTGAGCAGGGGGACCTTGCGGGCGCTGCAGGATTTCAGTCCTTCACAGCGTAATGTTACCAATTGTTTTATTGGTGACTATGGTCCCAGCTGCCTTGATATCATTGACAAGATCCTCCCGTCTAGTTCTGGGCTGATTCCTCACCGTTCTCATGATCATTGCAACTCCACGAGGTGAGATCTTGCATGGAGCCCCAGGCCGAGGGAGATTTACAGTTTTGTGTTTCTTCCATTTGCGAATAATCGCACCTTCTCACCAAGCTGCTTGGCAATGGTCTTGTAGCCCATTCCAGCCTTGTGTAGGTCTACAATCGTGTCCCTGACATCCTTGGAGAGCTCTTTGGTCTTGGCAATGATGGAGAGTTTGGAATCTGATTGATTGCTTCTGTGGACAGGTGTCTTTTATACAGGTAACGAGCTGATATTAGGAGCACACTCTTAAAGGGAGTGCTCCTAATCTCAGCTTATCTGTATAAAAGACACCTGGGAGCCAGAAATTTTTCTGATTGAGAGGGGGTCAAATACTTATTTCCCTCATTAAAATGCAAATCAATTTATAACATTTTTGACATGCGTTTTTCTGGATTTTCTTGTTGTTATTCTGTCTCTCACTGTTCAAATAAACCTACCATTAAAATTATAGACTGATAATTTCTTTAAATAAAGAATTAAAGCTTTCGTGACTGCATAAATTACTCATTGTTTTTTCGGTAAAGTCACGTATGTAGGAATACCATAAAATTATATTAAAACGTCGTGATTGATTTGTTTTAATATAATTTCATGGTATTCCTACATACGTGACTTTACCGAAAAAAACAATTAATGATAATTTCTTTGTCAGTGGGCAAACGTACAAAATCAGCAGGGGATCAAATACTTTTTTCCCTCACTGTCGTTTAAAAGCGTCCCCTGGTGTAGGAATAGGTTTTACCCTTTTAACGGGCACAAAAAACTGACACCTTTATTCCAGGCATCATGTTTGCAATAACCACAACACAAGCAGTCAAAATGCAAACAAAAAAGAGAACTCTGATAATATGCACTGTCCTTGAATTTGATTGGTCCACACCCGAGACGGCTTTTCTTAGAGCCTAGTCTCCACTGGTGTTGGACCAGATGACACCAAAAGGCCTTTTGGCGTCAATCAAATTCAAGGACAGTGCATATTATCAGAGTTGTCTTTTTTGCTTGCATTTTGACTGCTTGTGTTGTGGTTATTGCAAACATGATGCCCTGAATAAAGGTGTCAGTTTTTTGTGCCAGTTAAAAGGGTAAAACCTATTCCTATATCTTGTTTCTGGCAAAAGAGGTCTCATAACGTCCCCTGGTGCCCTGTGGAAAAAATGTAATGACCCGTGGATTATTTTCTCGTCAGAAAGAAGACGCATTACAATATTACATTTTCACGTGCATGTAAATGTTTAACTTCTCTCGCACCTTACATAGCCAACCGTGCTAAATGGAGGTGCGGGGGGGGAAGGACTGCAAACTAAACCCCGAAATTGCCCAAACATATACGAAAATGCAAACTTTTTAATCGGAAACTAGCGGAGACCCAGGACCGGTTCAGATAATCGTCACTGGTGTTGGCCATGAGCGGGAATTGAACCCAGGTCACCAGGTTCCTTTGCTACCGCACGCGCATACAGACAAACCAAGACGCGCACATCCATCCACGGACGTAAACACAAACACGCAGATACATTGGCTTTGACAAAGCGACTGCAAGTGTGGGGTAGGTGATGGTAGTGTAATTTTTATACATTGCACAATACAGCTTTGGACACACTTAATAGTACGCGTGCAAGAGCCAGCGTGCGGCGGTGCGCGTGTCTCCATCCCGCCGGGTGCCACGCGGAGATTCAAACGAAAGGTCGTTGCGCCAAGTCACACCTTGTATGCTCATGTATAATTATACACCGATAGATACGTAATAAAACATTACACAAGTCGAGCTTCGTTCAAAGTCAAAACGGTTTCGGGGGGGACGATTACGCTAGAAACGGATAACGGGAGTTTGACGCGCCCCACACGCCTCTTGACCACCGTCGAATCGGGCGCGTGTAGTGAATGTGGGTAAGGTTGCGGCTGCCCTGCAGACCGCCACAGCGTGAACAACACAGAGAGCCACTTCTCAGCAGAACCAACCAACAGTGAATCCTATCGCGATGTGCCGCACGGACTGCTTAAGTGGTGTTCTCCTGTGCACGGCCGATTTGAGTTTTCTGAATTACGAATAGGAATAATTGGCTCAGATGACATTCAAAACATAGCGACCTCATCTCTGCATCCTAAATGCATGAGAAAAAAAATAAACGTGCACATTTGCCATTGTTCAGAGTTAAATAATTTATTTCATAACTATAATTATTTTAAATTTTAATGTCCACATTTTTTTTTACATGAAAAGCAAAGCTAAAATTTATTTGAAAAGTGCTGGGTAATATTGACTCTACATCTTTACCTTCGTCAATTGAATGCAGTTGGGATGCAGCGAATGAGAAACAAGAACGTTATAGTTTTTATTTGTGCAGTATCCCACTTTAATTGGAGTAAAGATAACCGCAGGACAGTGCAATGCAGTTTTTTCGTTTCACGATCCAGCCACGGGGCACACCCGCCAGTAACAGCAGCAGCAGCAACAACGCCCTGCTCGTACCTAAAGTTTTACGGCACCGAGAAGTGTTAACAGAACTTCCTTCAATGTTTTGTTCATCTTTACATGTTTCCAGCCACCGTAAACTTGGTGCTCGGCAAGGATGCACATTAACTTCTGTACAACCGTGTCGTGTGCTACGCGGTGGGAACTTATCGGCAAAGTTCCGGCCACTGGAAGCCACAAGGTGAGACGCACCATCAACTCTTGCGTCACCGCCACAATCACCCAGCATGGATCGACTCGTCCTGAGATGCAGTTGCATTCCAGACGCCAGCTAATAAACTCAACTTGATGTTATTGTTTAGCCGTCATCGTATTGTCGCTTCCGTATTGCATGTGCAGAATATTCCAAGGTACAACCACGACTTGACGTGCAGGAGCAGCCAAGCCTGCGAGTATCTCAAGACGTTTACGTTGGGGGCTGTACGAGGCGGCTTTGCACCGTCTCCGAGAGAGCCGACGACGGGAGCGGCTGGAACAAGTTGGGCACAAATCGGAGAGGGATCCCACGCAAAAAAATCCTAATGCCCATGCCTCTCAGCCAACTTGAGCACGACATTTTAGAACTGTTTTGTTTGTTGTCCATCCACCGCATCTCCAATTATCACCGTTGGCTACGTACGGTGCGGAAGAAGTGCAACATACATACGTATACATAGTGTCTAGTGCCACGTGTAAAACGTGTGAAAGCGCTGCATTTGAGACCCAATGGTGAGCAGCGATAACAAGACGGCACACTTCATTCGGTCACTATCATCCCACCGCATACGGGCTTGCCTACAGTTTGGGGGCATAGGGATCGCCACTGTAGTGCCTTTATATGTAAAAACGTGCGAGCACTGCAGCGACACACGGTCACAACTTTATGTTTCGTGAGCCATCGCTTTAGTCGGTTACCCGGGGAAATTAATGCTTTTTTTTTTGGCGACGCTAACGACCACTCCTATCCAGAGCTCTTGGTTTGGATACATTTAAATCCGTAGATACAAAAAAAAAACCCCGATCCAAACCGATGCTCTTGGAGAAGACAGGGCCATGTTTTAAACCAAAAAAATCTGAACAGATGTCTCGCTCAACACAAAGTCCATGCCAAAGACAGACATTTGCATGGCACCAAAAATATTCCTGTGCAAAGCAAAAATCGTAGAATTTAGGAATTTCTAACCTTGCTCCATCTCCTTAAATCACCCTTCCCCACACTCTCCCAGCCACCTTGAGCCCAGCCACCTTGAGCCTAAATCCAACATTTTTGCACAGACAAGTTCATGGGAATGTACGAAAACATAAAAAAAAACAAGCTTGTTACATCATTATAATTATCACCAACATTACCACCGTTATTATCAATGTCAACAAATCATAATAATCACCATCATTAACGAAAAGCATCGTGGTCTTTAATCTGTATATAATACAACAACAAAAAAAACAAGCAGTGGTCAACATTCAGTCTAATGGGCCAAAAGAAAACAGATGCATCACCGCCACCTTACTTAAGACTCCAACCGTACCCGACAACTTCCTGGGCAGCTCAGCTGCAGGTGACCCCCTCCCCCGCACGGAGGACACTCGCAGCCGCACAGGGGGGAGGGCAGCGCCGTCATTTTCACAAACTCAAACCGGAGTGCAAAAACCCGTCACAGGATAACGGGAGACGAGGAGGGGGGGGAGGGGGGGGTGTGGTTGGAAGGCAGAGGACGAAGGTTTAGGCAGGGAGATGTCAGCTGGGCTGCGGAGTGATGTACGGAGGGAAGTGGATGGAGGGGCAGCCAGCACTCGCAGAATGCACAGCGGTGTTTCGAGTGTGGTGGGGGCTGTGTATGGGGGGAAAGCGGGGTTCACGTGGGGTCGACGTTTGGGGAGAGGGAAACGGGTTTGTCACGACGCACGTAACATACACACGCACGCACCGTGACATCACGCAAAGCAAAATAGGGTGAGCGCAGCCCCTCGTGCCCGATCGCCGCCACGGTTGTGTGGGTGCCTCTCGTTCTCTGGAGTACCCTCCGGCCCCACCCACCCCCCCCCCCCCACACACCTCCAGCACCACACGTACGCGTGACCACCAACACCGCAATCGCCGCCGCTATCGCCGCCGCTATCGCCGCCGCTGTCGCCGCCGCCGCCGCCACTACCGTCATCATCTCTCCCAGGAGGCGCTGGCAGAGCCTTAGCAGCAGCCCACGCCACCCTGGGCGCTGCCTGCTGCGCCAGGAGCAGCCGAACCCACCGGTGTGTGCTGGGGCCCGATCTTAATGCCGTTCGCCTGCCAGGGAAACACACAGACGCACAGTTACGCGGAGCCAGGGGTCCCCTCGTGCAGTCTTACAAACTGACCTAGCTTATTTGACTACATTAATCCCGATTTGAAGCTTTCGTGACTGCAGTAATTCATATTCTTAGTTCTTTCGGTAAAGTCACGTTGAAGGGGAACAACAAAATAATAAAATATATATAAAACAATAAAAATTCTCACGACGTTTCGACCATAACACAAAACGGTCGTCTTCCAACACACCTGAAGACGACCGTTTGTGTTTGTGTTATGGTCGAAACGTCGTGAGAATTTTTTATTGTTTTATATATATTTTATTATTTTGTTGTTTCCCTTCAACGTGACTTTACCGAAAGAACTAAGATTATACATTAATCCCGCCCACCCCTCTGGTCACCGCACCTGATAGGCTCGCAGTGATGACATCGCCTTTACGCCTCTGTTTAAGACCGAAACAGGACTTCGTCACAAATCTGTGTGAAATCAAGTATGTTGGTGCTGCATTCGTTTCGGTACATGTTAATACAATATTATATTGAGGTTGCCATGCGATTACTTGATCATGCATTTCCAAGCCACCCTGTCAGCTCTGTTTGAATAATTTTTTTTCTCAATTTCAATGGAGTCTTGGCAAATGGTCATTAGTTTAGCATAGAAAATTAACTATCAAAATCAAACGTCCTCGTGAGCAGCTATGTTATGCACGTGCCGCCAGTTGTGGGCTTACAGTGTGGTACAAGGCTCAGTTTAACACGTAGGCTTTCGCGACCAATATTATTCATAATAAAGGTTTTTGGGTTAGATCGCGTTATTTATTTTTAACCCAAAAACCTTTATTATGAATGGTACAAGGCTGTTACATAGGCAAGCACCTCATTGTTGATGTCAAATACTCCTTCTTGAATTTTCTGGTAGATCTCTTTGGCTGTATTGATGAAGGCCTATGGCGGGGGAAGATTAAAAACAGAATAAGAATTCATTTGAATCAACGGCACGCAAACATTAAAACACGCCAATCGTAAGCAACGCCTTTAGAAGGCATCGCTGAAACTAACGTCAACCAGTGTAACGGGCCGCACAGTATTCGCTCACTCTCAAAAGACAGAACGGCTCGGGGGCGCGAGCAGGAACCACAAAACAAGCGATGAGAGCCAGCAGCCGCGCGGTGAGCTCATGCCAACAACTCCCCAAACTCTGCGGTCCCCTACATACTAAGTTGTTTACGGCCAATTAACTCCCTTGGCACATTTTGGCGCCGGCTAATCGTAGGGTGGGGTCGTGTCGCTAAGGGTCCCCCGCGGCGAGTCGGGCAGTGGCGCACGTCGCAAGGGACAGCGGCGACGAGGTGTTGTTGCGCCTCGTCTGAAAGAGGCCTCTTTGTGAGGCGACTGCAAGGGGGAGTTCTCGCGACTTGGTCCCCCGGATGACGCCGGCGCCCTCACCTCCTCGACGTTGGCCGCAGTCTTGGCGGACGTCTCCATGAACACAAGGCCGTGCTCGCGTGCAAACGCCTCCCCCTCCTCGCGCTTCACGTCGCGCCGGGACTCCAGGTCACTGCGCGCATTGTGGGGGGCGGGGGGGGGCGGGGGGGGGCGGGGGTGGGAAACCATCACTGATCGTCTCCTCCACCTCTAATAGACCCAGCTCCTTCACGTGGATCACATGGTGTGGGGGGGGGAACCATCACTGATCGTCTCCTCCACCTCTAATAGACCCAGCTCCTTCACGTGGATCACATGGTGTGGGGGGGGGGACCATCACTGATCGTCTCCTCCACCTCTAATAGACCCAGCTCCTTCACGTGGATCACATGGTGTGGGGGGGGGGGAACCATCACTGATCGTCTCCTCCACCTCTAATAGACCCAGCTCCTTCACGTAGATCACATGGTGTGTGGGGGGGGGAACCATCACTGATCGTCTCCTCCACCTCAAATAGACCCAGCTCCTTCACGTGGATCACATGGTGTGTGGGGGGGGGAACCATCACTGATCGTCTCCTCCACCTCTAATAGACCCAGCTCCTTCACGTGGATCACATGGTGTGTGGGGGGGGGAACCATCACTGATCGTCTCCTCCACCTCTAATAGACCCAGCTCCTTCACGTGGATCACATGGTGTGTGGGGGGGAACCATCACTGATCGTCTCCTCCACCTCTAATAGACCCAGCTCCTTCACATAGATCACATGATGTGTGGGGGGGGGGAACCATCACTGATCGTCTCCTCCACCTCTAATAGACCCAGCTCCTTCACGTGGATCACATGGTGTGTGGGGGGGGGGGGGAACCATCACTGATCGTCTCCTCCACCTCTAATAGACCCAGCTCCTTCACGTGGATCACATGGTGTGTGGGGGGGGGAACCATCACTGATCGTCTCCTCCACCTCTAATAGACCCAGCTCCTTCACGTGGATCACATGGTGTGTGGGGGGGGGGGGAACCATCACTGATCGTCTCCTCCACCTCTAATAGACCCAGCTCCTTCACGTGGATCACATGGTGTGTGGGGGGGAACCATCACTGATCGTCTCCTCCACCTCTAATAGACCCAGCTTCTTCACGTAGATCACATGGTGTGTGGGGGGGAACCATCACTGATCGTCTCCTCCACCTCTAATAGACCCAGCTCCTTCACGTAGATCACATGGTGTGTGGGGGGGGGGAACCATCACTGATCGTCTCCTCCACCTCTAATAGACCCAGCTCCTTCACGTATATCTGTCCATTAGCCATACGACCTTCCCTCTGCGGATTCCCAATTTCAGCGGTATTGGTTTGACGCATGTAAATGCTGCGCCGTTTTAGAAATTCAGTGTCTTACCACGAGTCGGGCTTGCTTGGAACAATACTGGTGAAGGCCAGACATAATCTAGGACCATCTCTGTTAGGCATGGCGGCTAGTTCAATGCACAACTGTATAGTACACGAAACAATGGATAAAACAGACATGGGAAGAAGGTATATTACCTTCGTATTTATTTTGTGACTTCTATTCTACACAACGATGTAAATTATTATATTGTGTTTTCTTTATCTGTAAGTCTCCGAATATCTCAATCTCCCTCTCCATCACTCCCCCTGTATCTGTTTCCGGATATGTGTCTCTTACTCTACTTGTCCGTCTATCCCTGTTCATCACGCTCTCTCACATCTCTTTCTCAGCCTCTCCTGGTCTCTTCTCCTCCGTCTATCCCTCTTCTAATTCGACTTCGTGTATACCTATGTCTCTAATATATCCCTCTCCCCCCCCCCTTCCTCTGTCTCTCCTCTCCCTCAGTTTCCTGTTTTAACCTCACACTCCATCTCTCACCCTATCTCATGAACTCATTTCTTTAAAATTGCTTTTAGTGTTTAGTTTGTTGTACTTTCCCTGCACTTCCGATTAGCACGGCCGGCTACATAAGCTGTGAAAGAAGTTCAACATACATATCCCTCCGTTTCTGCCCATCTCCTCCTTCCTCTCTTGCCAGCCTCGCTCACCTCTCATCCCATCTCTCTTATTTCTCCTCTCAATCTCTCCCCCCCGTCCCACCTCTCCCCTCGTTCTTTCCTTCCTTCCTTCCTTACTCTATCCCTGCACCTGTTCTGCCTTTCCCCTCCGTGACAAATGCAGTGGCTGCACCTCTTGTTGCCGATGAGCATGATGATCATGTTGGAGCTCGAGTGCTGGCGCGCGTCCTCCAGCCACGTGGTTAGGTGGTTGAACGTGTCTCTCCTGACATCAGTAGTGCGGTGGGGGGGGGGGGGCGGGGGCGGGGGGGGTGTGCGGACGCAACAACGGAGCAGTTACCACTACCACCGGCATTTGTTCACCAAACAATCACTATCGCCAAAAAAATACACGGCACCCAAACTATGGATAAATGTGATCACTGCATCCCCTAGTGGACACTTGGGATGGCATTTACAATCAAATTACAAAAGGCAATAGTTGCCTGGAATTTTACGCGCGATTTACATAACGCGATTTTTAAATAGCGCGTTAGATTAACTTACACTCATTTTGCTATGCATGTACTACCGTTAGCCAGGCAGCAAAGTTCATGAGCGATACCTAAGGCACAGTACTGACAACCACAAGCACGGGCAGCATCAGCATCTCCCCACGCGCCACTCTCCACTCCTATCCACCAGCCCCAGTACACCACACTCAAGCATCTCATACACGTGTTAAAAATCTTATTCTTTTTTTAAATTCTTTAAATCTGTTGTTACTATCTTCAATACGTGTATGGTAGTATTGTGAACGTAATATGTACTGTAACCGGTGAAATATGTAGACGTAAGAATGAGCTTTGATAGCATGCTCTCCATAACTCCAACCATTTCTCTTCATTTCTTATGGGAAGATAACGCTTAATTCACGCCGTTTTTGAGTTACGTGCCGTTTTTCAAGAACACAACCACCCACATAAAACGAGAGGCAGCTTTACGACTGCCCTAGGCTCCGCGCTCTAGACGTGACGGCATGACAATTTTGATGCCGAGCTGTCGATTTCATTAGAGATTATCTCACTTTGCAGTTATTATTTGACGCAGTCCTCGACCATTTAAAAACTGTTGCAATTGTCACCCTTAGTCTATGTTCGATGTTTCTGTAATTTTACCATGCATGGTTGATAACAATAATTTATCCTGAACCAAGTTTTGCTTCTGGAAATGTATTAATAATTATGCTTATATTCTTGGTTCTTTCGGTAAAGTCACGCAGAAGGGAAACAATAAAATCATATATATTTTAATTATTTTATTGTTTCCCTTCTACGTGACTTTACCGAAATAACCAAGAATATGAATCCCTGCAGCCACAAAAGCTTTAAATCAAAATTATGCTTATGTTTGCGCACTTCTAAAAATGTCTTCTGTAATGTGGGCGTTCTTGCCCTGATTTATATTTGCTTCATTGTTGTACTTGTATTTCTTTCGTCATTTTTTATGACTCAGGTCTAACAGATTATCCTGGTCTATTAAGTTCAAACCGGGTTAACCAAAATAACATCAAACTGAAACCTGGCATGGTCCTCTCGAGTCCGATTCATCTCAGAAATCCGTATCGTTTGATCTCAAAGTAAGCCACATCTCTCGGCAGGTCACAGCTTGGCAGGCCACTCGAACAGCCGTCATGGGCCAGATGTGGCCCATGTGTCCACTGGCTGAAGAGCCCGACTTGTGGTTATATATTTGGACCTTTGGCCAACTCCGTCAATGAGTATTTTATACGTGGGCTTCAGTGCACACAACACTTGTGTCGATCATGAAGCAGTCCGTTCAGCGAATCATGTCATGACCAGTACCGGATAAATCGACTCACTGCTTTGGGGCAGCGACATGGCCTAGCAGTAGCGCCTCTGTCGCTTGTTGCAGAGGTTTGCGGTTTCAATCCCGCAGGTGCACCTTAGTTATTAATGCCAGTGCATTAACCGTAAACATACACACCGTCCGCTTCAAAGTGTAAGTTAGACATCCAGCATTGTCATCATAAATGAGCAGGCCATCCTATTACGGCGTCATGGTTCATATGAGAAAAATGACGCTGCAAATTACTGGGAATGTACGTAGCAACGTCGCCACCTACTGCGAAAAAACTTGGAAGGACCCTCCTTAAAAAGAGCCTTCTGGCAGACTAATGCCCACTCGCTCATTAATCATTGTCCATTAAACACACTGTTCCACAAACTCTGGGAATGTACGTAGCAACGTCGCCACCTACTGCGAAAAAACTTGGAAGGACCCTCCTTAAAAAGAGCCTTCTGGCAGACTAATGCCCACTCGCTCATTAATCATTGTCCATTAAACACACTGTTCCACAAACTCTGGGAATGTACGTAGCAACGTCGCCACCTACTGCGAAAAAACTTGGAAGGACCCTCCTTAAAAAGAGCCTTCTGGCAGACTAATGCCCACTCGCTCATTAATCATTGTCCATTAAACACGCTGTTCAACAAACTCTAGTTTTCATTGGCCAGACGTGACGCCACACCACTGCTATACCAAGTCGCCGTAACTGCTTGCAGTGACTGCGGCGCCGGGGACTATCGCGCTGAAATGGCATTGGTGTGTGACCCGGGGCATCGGGGGCCGCGATCACCTGGTGATGTCGTAGACCAGGAGGGCACCGGCGGCACCGCGGTAGTAGGAGCGCGTGATGGAGCGGAACGATTCCTGCCCCGCCTACACGCGGCACACGTGGGGGTCACACGGCTCGTCCTCGACAGGTGATCACTTAACAGCGCTCAAACCGCTTTTCCTCGTAACCAAATGTCGAGGTGGTATGTCATGGTTTCGCGTAGGCGTGCCGTGTTAGGGGCGCCATGGTGGCGAGATGTTAACTGCCTCGCCTGGTATACAGGAGGTAGTGGGTTAGATTCCGACTCTGACGCCTGTATATTTGGAGTTTGCGCGTTCATCCCGTGGCAGCATGGATTTTTCTCCAGGTCCTCCGATTTTTCCCTCCATATTCAGAAACGTGTCACGTAAGCTAAATTAGTTGAGCTATCATTTGTGATGGCCAGGTCGCGGCTGAAAAATTTGCAATATAGCTCAGTGGGCCTTACTTGGAAAATAAAAATAGTTTAGTTTATTGTTTAATCTAATGATTACTGTTCTTTCAGATGTGGCTGCATTTACAGAGTCTGCAGAAACAGAAACTAGTGTTCATACATATGTGCTACGGTAACACGCATACAACTTGAAATTATAGTTCGCAAACCACAGAGTTTGTGAGTTTTTAATTATGTATGTGAATTTTCAATATGGGAGCCTCCAGCATCTGCAATCACCTTTTCACCGTGAACACATGCTGCTCTGCTATAGCCCACTTTGTTCCCTACTGTTCAAAACATGCAGCTCTGTGCCATTTATGTTCACGCAAATATATAACTAAAAACTCTCAAACTAGCGTTTTGTGAACCATACTATTAAGTTGTATGTTGTTGTCCATAGCGGAAGGCGCTTTCAGATTCGCTTCTGCAACCGTCCGGAATGCTCTTCCTTTTAATATTAGAAAGCCACTGGACCTCTGCACTTTTAAAACTATATTGAAAACTCATTTCTTTAAAACTGCTTTTTGTGTTCAGTTTGTTGTCCTTCCCCCGCACCTCTTGATTAGCATGGTTGGCGAGGTACGGTGAGAAAGAATTTCAACACACATACACTCGGACCACATCCACTCCACATGCCTCTGCTGCCCAGGCCAATGGGTCCGACCCCATATTCTGTCCCTACCGCAGTTGTGCAGCGAGTAACAGCTGGCGCCACGTACCGTGTCCCATATTTGTAGCTTCACCTGCTTCCCATCAATGTTGATCATCCGTGCACCAAACTCGACTCCTGTGAACAAATAGAAAGTATTCCCCCATTCAGCCTTGCAAACCCCACGGGTGCAAGTGCTGCTAGTGAGCACCTATGCAGAATGGCACGGTGCATGAGGTGGTGCTGTGGATAGCACTGTGCACCAGTGCTGATATTGACACAACACAACCGATGCTTATGTAAGCCTCAGTAAACCTCGGGGAGGCACAGGACTGGTTCAGATGAGGTCATGAGCAAAAGGGGGATGATCGGTATCACCTGGGGTGGCAAATGCCACTCGTGTACACCATGGGCAGTGCCCACCATGGGCAGAAAGCTGAGTGTATGTACTTGCTATTTTTTTTTTCCACAATGAAATTCTATTTCAAACGTACCATGCTGCCCTTCTTTAACAAAATATTCCTTGATAAGCTGCCACGGTGGCCATGCTATATCATCTACTTGTGTGATCTACGGATAAATCCTTCAATAAAACCAATGTTAGCATTTGCACGCTCACAGATGCACTACAATAAAAAAGCAGAGCGAACACACACAGGTGCATGTTTACACAAAGAAGTTCAGACACAGAAGAGCACACCAACACAAATAACAAGACAAAGATCCTCCGTATTGCCGACACAGGCTTCTCAGGCAAGTGCTCGCTATTAGTGAGCATCTATGAAAGGCCGGCACGGCGCATCTATGAAGGGGTGGTGTGGCCGGTACCACGCCTGGACGCCTTTGTTTACCCTGTGTTGATGTTCACACACTGCACCAGGTACTCATTTAAGGCTGAGTCTACCAAGGAGACTCGTTCAGATATTGGCCGCTGACGTTGGCCGGGAGCGGGAATCCACTTCCGACCACCTGTAATGTACCACTACTGTGCACTTCGCACTGTGCACTAAACACTGCTCCCAACGAAGAACACAATCACAATCTCACACACACGAAAGAACATTCACACAGAGCAGAGAATAAACATGCATTTTCACAGGCACAGGGAAGCCAACTCAGATAGAAGCACACAAACTCGTATCAGCACGCTCACATAGAACACTACAACAAATCAAACAACCATACACAGGCAGCATTACAACAATTTTCATAAACTGAAAATCACCCCCCATAGCTGATCAGGCAATGCAAGTTGCTCAGACACGGAACTCATGGCATGGACAGGTGGTTGAGTTACGGCGAGATGGGGACGGGCAGACGCACCTATGGTGAGGTCGTGCACGGGCTGGAAGCGCTTGTCTGTGAACTGCAGCAGCAGGCACGACTTCCCCACACCTGCACGTGCGTTTCGGGCAGGTGGGAGACAAGAGGGCTGTCAGCATGGCTCCCATCATCTTTACCACCATCAGCCATAATAAAGCCGCTGCTCGCAAAATTATCACCATCTCATAAATTTCTACGTTTTTTCTGTGTGCTCTGTGTGTTATAGGTTCGGTGTGGGCTCTGTGTGTGTGTGGTGAGGTTCTGGAGATGTGTGTGGTGTGGGTTGTGTGTGTGTGTGTATTCTGTGTGTGGTGTAGGTTTGGTGTGGGTTCTGTATGTGGTGCGAGTTCTATAGATGTGCATTCTATGTATGAGTGGTGTAGGCTCTATGTGGGTTGTGTGTTTGGTGTAGGTTCAGTGTGTGGTTTGTGTGGGTTATGCGTGGCAGGGTTGTGTGTGGCAGGGTTGTGTGTGTGCGGGTTCCATGTGAGTGGTGTGGGTTTGTGTGTTTGTGGTGAGGGTTCTATGTGTGTGGTATGGGTTCTGTGTATGTTCTCTGTGTATGTGGGATCTGTGTGTGGGTTATATGTGTGCGTGGGTAATATGCGTGTGTAGTGTGGGTTGTGTGTACATGGGTTATACGAGTGGGTTGTTGTGTGTGTTGCATTCCAGAATCCATGCATATGCCTATCTTGTTTGTTTTAAAAGGGCAAAGCCCCCGATCTTAGCCAAATCACCTCCCTGTTCACCAACGAGCAACGGGGGCGGTATTCATCTCTGTCGAGGGCACTGATACAGAAGTGCAAATTCCATATTCGTATGGCGGGGCCCAATTCACTCATTAACAGTGAAAGTTGCCTTTCTACGATCTGGCACTCGTGTATATATATTATTTACTCCAGAAGGATGATGATCTCAGAGCGACGCCCAAAAAGAGATATTTAGTCTGACCTTCAGACCGAGCCGAGCTCTCTCCTCCCACTAAAGAGCACTGCTGGGCCCGATGACAACAGTACAACTATAATCATAGCAGCACTATTACTGTCATCACCACGTTTATCGAATGATCATATTCATGAGTTCGAATTGTACAATGTTGTCGTTATTGTCATCGTAACTATTACATAGATTGTAGCTGCATTTATATACGCTATTACCACACCACTGTACCTCATTCCTACAATATTGTGCGAGTACCTACTACCATCACGATTTTAACTACATATAACACAGCTAGGTTATCACAACTATATTAAGCTTTAAGCCAAGATTACAACTACATTACTCGTACACAGTAATAATTTGCATAGTTGCAAAGGAAATAAACAACATCAACAATTAGACAATGTCTCATTCAATTACCCGTCTCTCCACATAAAATGTAAACGCAGCCACAGCCTTGTAGTGCGTGCACAATTAAAATTTCTGCAGCATTGATTCAATACATATACTGTACAAGCAAAATTAGGTAAAATTAGATTATAGATTGTTTTTTTTAAAGTGCTCAAGACGATTACTGTAATAACGCCTATTCCTACCTCAATGATTTATAGGATTATTATTACTGTACGTAGTATAACTATCCTAACTACCGTCATTATTTGAAACATTACCGCATACGTTATTACAACTCATTATTACTATGCCAGGTGTATTTTGCCTAGTAGCGTCAATATAATTGAGCAAAACCAAAAAAAATGACCACCATCGTAACAATTACTATCATTGCTACACATTTTAAAGTTATACTTTCCATTATAATCAACACGCAAAAAAACTCAACGAATTCGTCAATGGCAGTGGCCTTAAAGACGAGCAAATACATAATAGACGACTTCGGTATTTCACCCTTCCTCTGAGCAGATCGGAGCGGTTGATCGGCACATTACGGGTCATTACGACTAACTACTTACAGAGCGTACGACAACCACCGTTGACACGACACGCTGTGTATTTGTAGTTATAAGGGCTCCGTTAGTATTTAACGATGCTGATTGTGCGAGACGCGTTATCACTGCTGGCGCACGCAGAGAGCGACCCGCGGGCCTGAGTGAGGCCTTCCCGGACCGGGCCTCACCCGTGTCGCCGATGATGATGTATTTGAAGAGATAGGCGTATGACATCTCGGCTCGGCCGCAAAAAAAACTCACGGTACAACGGACGAAACAAGAATATACGTAAAACTCAACTGAACGAAACTTTAAAAAAAATGAACTGGAAAAGGATTATCACACAGGGCTCACACAAACCCGGCTAGAGCTGTCGCGTCACCCGCTACTCACTGCGCATGCGCATGGGACGACATCGCCCCCCCCCCAACCCCTTCCCGAAACCCCTCCCCTACTGCGCATGCGCATAGTACGACACCAGCCCCCCCCTCACCCCCCTCCCGACACCCCTCCCCTAGTACGCATGCGCATGGGACGACACCGCCCCCCCTAACCCCTCTCCCGTCACCCCTCTCTTACTGCGCATGCGTATAGGACAACACCGCCCCGCCCTAGCCGTCCTCCTGAGACCCCTCCCCTACTTGCGCATGCGCATAGGACGACACCGCCCCCCATAACCCCTCCCCCGATACCGCTCCCCGTTCTCCCGTGCCCGTTTCAGCCAATGGGAAACGCCGTTTACCCTCCCACGTTTGCCGGCACCCACCAATCAGGTGAGTCGATTCGTGATGTGCGTTCAGGAATTCAATGGGGTTGCGCGTGGGGCCCCGGTGCCAAATGTATCGCGACGTCTCATTGGCTATCCACACGCGGGGTCCGTGTAAACACGCCGCTGATTGGGCAGAGCGGGTGGAAGTGGTGGTGGCTCGACGTGATGCCGTCACAACGCACGCATTACTCTTTACGTGATGACGCATTTGGGGACTGTCACGTCATTGCGTACGGTAGTGGCGTAAAATAATACAGAATCAGAATCTTTATTTAGTTTTATTTGTATATATTCTTAAGCGATTTGTTTACCTTTTCTATACTTTGCAATCCTATTCTATGGTTCTTTCGGTAAACATTTGTACTTTGCAATCCCATTGATTTTGTATTGTTCGTTGTTGTAACGTTTTGATCCGCCCCTCGTTGGAGACACTTGTGAAATAGAGCTTTCTATCTCATCGGATTCCTCCAGGATGAATAACAGATTCTGACAAATATTTCAACGTCGGCAACCGCTCGATCGAAAGAAAAAAACGTCCACTGCGCAATTACGTCATTTCAACGTACGTCATCGCGCTTACATTTGCGTCATCGCGCAGGGCGGTGGCGCGAGCGCGCGCCTGCGTACACAGTACAGCGCGAGACGTCGCCGCGCAGGGAACGCGTACGTCACCGCGCAGGGAACGCGGTGACGTCATCGCGCAACTGGCGGGGCCGTGGACAGTTGGGGAAGGGAGGGCGTGGCGGGCTCGGAGTCGTGGAGGCGGCGGCGCTGGTCCGAGGCGCGAGGCCTCGCGGCGATCTCCATCCCGGGCGGAATGGAGGAGGCGTTCTGGGCCATCGAGCGCGGGCAGGGAGGCTGGGAGCGCGCCTTCCAGGTTCGCCGCCCGGCTGCTGACTGCTGCGTACTCGCACGGGGGCACACGTGGACTGGTGTACAGTGTGCACGTGCTGTGTGTTTTGTCTTACGTGCTGCCTGTTTTGCTGTGTACTGTCTGTGTACTGTCTGTGTGATGCCTGTGTGCTGTCTGTGTGATGCCTGTGTACTGCCTGTGTGATGTCTGTGTGATGCCTGTGTGCTGTCTGTGTGATGTCTGTGTGATGCCTGTGTGCTGTTTGTGTGATGCCTGTGTGATGTCTGTGTGATGCCTGTGTGCTGTTTGTGTGATGTCTGTGTGATGTCTGTGTGATGCCTGTGTGATGCCTGTGTGATGTCTGTGTGATGTCTGTGTGATGCCTGTGTACTGTCTGTGTGATGCCTGTGTACTGTTTGTGTGATGTCTGTGTGATGCCTGTGTGATGTCTGTGTGATGCCTGTGTGATGTCTGTGTGATGTGTCTGTGTGATGCCTGTGTGATGCCTGTGTGCTGTCTGTGTGATGTCTGTGTGATGCCTGTGTGCTGTCTGTGTGATGTCTGTGTGATGCCTGTGTGCTGTTTGTGTGATGCCTGTGTGATGCCTGTGTGATGTCTGTGTGCTGTTTGTGTGATGCCTGTGTGATGCCTGTGTGATGCCTGTGTGATGTCTGTGTGCTGTTTGTGTGATGCCTGTGTGATGCCTGTGTGATGTCTGTGTGATGCCTGTGTGATGTCTGTGTGATGCCTGTGTACTGTCTGTGTGATGCCTGTGTGATGCCTGTGTGCTGTCTGTGTGATGTATGTGTGATGCCTGTGTGCTGTCTGTGTGATGCCTGTGTGATGCCTATGTGCTGCCTGTGTACTGCCTGTGTACTGTCTGTGTGCTGCCTGTGTACTGTCTGTGTACTGTCTGTGTACTGTCTGTGTGATGCCTGTGTACTGTCTGTGTGATGCCTGTGTGCTGTCTGTGTGCTGTCTGTGTGATTCCTTGTGTGCTGTCTGTGTGATCCCTGTGTGTTGTCTGCTGTCTGTGTGATCCCTGTGTGCTGTCTGTGTGATCCCTGTGTGTTGTGTGCTGTCTGTGTGATCGCTGTGTGCTGTCTGTGTGATCCCTGTGTGTTGTGTGCTGTCTGTGTGATCGCTGTGTGTTGTCTGTGTGATCCCTGTGTGTTGTGTGCTGTCTGTGTGATCCCTGTGTGGTCTGCTGTCTGTGTGATCCCTGTGTGTTGTCTGCTGTCTGTGTGATCCCTGTGTGCTGTCTGTGTGATGCCTGTGTGATGCCTGTGTGATGTCTGTGTACTGTCTGTGTGCTGCCTGTGTGATGCCTGTGTGATGCCTGTGTGATCCCTGTGTGATGCCTGTGTGCTGTCTGTGTGATGCCTGTGTGATGTTTGTGTGATGCCTGTGTGCTGTCTGTGTGATGCCTGTGTGATGTCTGTGTGATGTCTGTGTACTGTCTGTGTGCTGCCTGTGTGCTGCCTGTGTGATGCCTGTGTGATCCCTGTGTGCTGTCTGTGTGATGCCTGTGTGATGTCTGTGTGATGTCTGTGTGCTGTCTGTGTGATGCCTGTGTGATGCCTGTGTGTTGTCTGTGTGATGCCTGTGTGCTGTCTGTGTGATGCCTGTGTGATGCCTGTGTGATGCCTGTGTGCTGTCTGTGTGATGCCTGTGTGATGCCTGTGTGATGCCTGTGTACTGTCTGTGTGCTGCCTGTGTGCTGCCTGTGTGATGCCTGTGTGCTGCCTGTGTGCTGCCTGTGTGCTGCCTGTGTGATGTCTGTGTGATGCCTGTGTGATGCCTGTGTGCTGTCTGTGTGATGCCTGTGTACTGTCTGTGTGATGCCTGTGTGCTGTTTGTGTGATGCCTGTGTGATGTCTGTGTGCTGCCTGTGTACTGCCTGTGTGCTGTCTGTGTACTGCCTGTGTGCTGTCTGTGTGCTGCCTGTGTACTGTCTGTGTACTGTCTGTGTGATGCCTGTGTACTGTCTGTGTGATGCCTGTGTGATGCCTGTGTACTGTCTGTGTGATGCCTGTGTGATGCCTGTGTACTGTCTGTGTGATGCCTGTGTGATGCCTGTGTGATGCCTGTGTGATGCCTGTGTACTGTCTGTGTGATGCCTGTGTACTGTCTGTGTGCTGCCTGTGTGATGTCTGTGTGCTGTCTGTGTGATGCCTGTGTGATGCCTGTGTGATGCCTGTGTGCTGCCTGTGTGATGCCTGTGTGATGCCTGTGTGCTGTCTGTGTGATGCCTGTGTGATGTCTGTGTGATGTCTGTGTGCTGTCTGTGTGATTCCTTGTGTGATGTCTGTGTGCTGTCTGTGTGCTGTCTGTGTGCTGTCTGTGTGATCCCTGTGTGTTGTCTGTGTGATCCCTGTGTGATGTGTGTTGTCTGTGTGATCCCTGTGTGTTGTGTGATGTCTGTGTGATCCCTGTGTGTTGTCTGCTGTCTGTGTGATCCCTGTGTGTTGTGTGCTGTCTGTGTGATCGCTGTGTGCTGTCTGTGTGATCCCTGTGTGGTCTGCTGTCTGTGTGATCCCTGTGTGTTGTCTGCTGTCTGTGTGATCCCTGTGTGTTGTCTGCTGTCTGTGTGATCCCTGGGTGCTGTCTGTGTGATCCCTGTGTGTTGGTGTGCTGTCTGTGCGATCCCTGTCTGCTGTCTGTTGATCCCTGTGTGTTGTCTGCTGTCTGTGTGATTCCTGTGTGTTGTCTGCTGTCTGTGTGATTCCTGTGTGTTGTCTGTGTGATCCCTGTGTGTTGTCTGTGTGATTCCTGTGTGTTGTCTGCTGTCTGTGCGATCCCTGTGTGATCTGCTGTTTGTGTGATCCCTGTGTGTTGTCTGCTGTCTGTGTGATCCCTGGGTGCTGTCTGTGTGATCCCTGTGTGTTGTGTGCTGTCTGTGCGATCCCTGTCTGCTGTCTGTTGATCCCTGTGTGTTGTCTGCTGTCTGTGTGATTCCTGTGTATTGTCTGTGTGATCCCTGTGTGTTGTCTGTGTGATCCCTGTGTGTTGTCTGTGTGATTCCTGTGTGTTGTCTGTGTGATTCCTGTGTGTTGTCTGCTGTCTGTGCGATCCCTGTGTGTTGTCTGTGTGATCCCTGTGTGTTGTCTGTGTGATCTTGAGCTGCTCTGAAACTTCCCATCGGTGACGTCTGTGCATATAAGATGCGTGTGTGTGTGTCTGATGTCTGCATACACGTGGTGTGTACTTGAGCTGCTCTGCACGCTTCCCACTGGTTGATGTCTGTGCATCCTAAGATCTGTGTGCGTGTGTGCACGTGTGCAGGACCTGGCCCGGGACAGCTCTAACTTCCCGTGCCGTGTGGCTCACCTACCGCTCAACCGCACGCTGAACCGTTACCGCGACGTCAGCCCATGTGCGTCCCCCCCCCCAATCGCTACCCAGCGTCGCCGCACGATCCAATCGCACAGCGCTGTGCATGAGTGCGCCCTTGCGTGTGTGGGGTTGCTTCTGTGTGTGCCTGCGTGGTTGATTCTGTGTGTGTGTGTGGTTGATTCTGTGTGTGCGTGGCTGATTCTGTGTGTGTGTGTGCGTGGTTGCTTCTGTGTGTGTGGTTGATTCTGTGTGTGGTTGCTTCTGTGTGTGCCTGCGTGGTTGATTCTGTGTGTGCGTGGTTGCTTCTGTGTGTGTGCGTGTGGTTGATTCTGTGTGTGTGTGCGTGGTTGATTCTGTGTGTGTGTGTGTGGTTGATTCTGTGTGTGTGCGTGGTTGATTCTGTGTGTGTGTGCGTGGTTGCTTCTGTGTGTGTGTGTGCGTGGTTGATTCTGTGTGTGTGCGTGGTTGATTCTGTGTGTGTGCGTGTGGTTGATTCTGTGTGTGTGTGCGTGGTTGATTCTGTGTGTGTGTGCGTGGTTGATTCTGTGTGTGTGTGTGTGTGGTTGATTCTGTGTGTGTGCGTGGTTGTTTCTGTGTGTGTGTGCGGGGTTAATTCTGGTTGATTCTGTGTGTGTGCAGAGTTCAGTCATTTGCGGTGTAATTTTTAAAATTTGGACCAATAACGCCACAGTGCAATGGTCTGCACTCTTACGTGCGATGTCGTGCAGTATTATAGCTATTACACCGGCATTAATCATTGGGACGGCCGCTGGATTTTAAACCATGAACCTCTGCAATGAGCGGCGAGCGTGCTACCGCCGGGCGGCAGTGTCAGCGCCCTCCTCGCCCCGTGTTTTTGATAGCGCATCCGGAGGGCGTTGCTTTGTGTGGTGTTTACTTGTTTGTGGGGGGGGGGGGGGGTGTTTGTATTTTTGTGACGTTGGGGACCAGATGACGACAGTCGGGTGAAGCTGCAGAGGGGAGATAACGACTACATCAATGCCAGCCTGGTGTGCGTGCCCCAAGCCGGCCGCAAATACATACTCACGCAGGTGCCCGCATGACCGCACGGATACCTGCTCACATACACGAGTGCACCTACAAGCATTCTCGCCATGGTGGCGAGATGTCAACTCCCTCGCTTGGTATACGGGAGGTCATGGGTTCCATCCCGACCCTTATGCCTGTTTAAATGGAGTTTGTGTGTCCTCCCCTGTAGTCGCATGGATTTTTCTCCGGGTCCTACCAGTTTTTCCTCCTTCACATTTCGAATCAACATGTGTTTAGAATATTTGGCTGCTATAAATTTCCACCTAATAAGACACTTTGCTGAGCTATCACTTGTGGCCAGGTTTGCATCTGATAAAGAGATGTATAGTCGAGTTACTCCTTACCTGGTTGAGTAAAAATAGTTGAGTCTATAGTTTAGCATATACCTACGTAGAAAACATCAACAACATCTGTTGGCCACTCAGTAGGCGGGGATGTCACCACAGCGGTATTGCCATTCTAGATGCACTTTTGAGGCTATCACGTGAAGTGTGGAAGGGTTGCTGCTGTCAAAGACCAAGGAAATAACAGTCGACTGACTGAAATGACTGATAGATGCCCCACCTGTCCTCTCCAATGTGCCATCTTGCTGCGTTTTGGCCGCCTGGCACTCAGTCCTAGCATAGCTCTTCCACCTCTTGGCATGCAGTGGCTGGGCGTGCGGGCTACATAACCCAGCCAACGCAGTCTTATCGGAGGAGCTCACCGATTGAACTGTGTTCCAATTTTTCCAGGATCTGTGAGCCCGAATAATAACGCAGAGCTCTGGCCTATTGATATAATCATAGGCCTTGACCAGGTCATTAAAGCAGATGGAGGTCCCGGGTGGAGGTCCCGTTGAAATTACCTACACCTCTGCTGAAGCAAACGGACGGAGAATATGGCATCTTAAACCAAAATGGTGCTCTCCCCTCAGTGTGACTGTCAAGGTTATGTTGAATCACCCTTGCCAGGACCTTTCCCGGCACACTGAGGAGGGAGATGCCCTGTTATTTGTTGCAAGTGCTGGTCGCTAGGACCTCTGCAGGCCAGCAGGGCACACAAGGGAGTTGGTGACCAGCACTACACCTGGCCGCCTTTGTCTGCCCCGTACCAATGTTTACACAATGCAACTAGATACCCATTTGAGGCTCAGTCGACTTTGGGGAGGCCCAGCGCTGGTTCATTCAACACCGGTGATGGTAGCCGTGAGTGGGAATCGAACTCGGGGCGCTGGATTGGTCGCACAGCTGCCAACCCAGCTACACTACCGCTCCCCACCACCACCAACCACTACTATCACCACCACACACGGCTCATCTCAATTTTAACAACAACCCCAACCCGTCTTGCTCCACGACTCCCTTCGCTCCCTCCACACAGGGACCTCTGCCACACACGTGCGGTCACTTCTGGCAGATGGTGTGGGAGCAGGGCTCGCGGGCCGTGGTCATGCTCAACCGGCTCGTGGAGAACAACTCGGTGAGTTTCCCGGCGCTGTCTCTGGACAGCATCATCATTGGCCATGGTCAATCCACTGCTGGATGAAAGGCCTTTTAAAGCTGCTGCCGCCTCCCACGATCTTGCGATGTAACAAGCCACCCAGCACCTGCACAGTAGCTGATTTTTAATGCTATGAACGCCGTGCCGTGCCGGCCTTCGTAGGTGCTCCCAAACCGCGCTTGCCCCAAAAGTCTGCTGTCAAAGACGATGCACGGTGGATCTTTGCCTTGTGTGTGCGCTGCTGCAGATTAAGTGCGAGCGGTACTGGCCGTTGCCTGACCACCCCGAGATGATTTTCGACGACACGGGCGTGCGTGTGGTGCTCCGTCGCGAGCGCGAACGCCAGAGCTTCACCATGCGCCGACTCGAGCTGGAGTTCCTGCCGGTGCCTGTGCCCCCCCCCCCCCCCCCCCACCACCTCCACCCCACCACTACCTCCCCCCCGCTCCCGCAACTCAAACCCCAATCCCCGTGACTACTGACCTCCTCCCAATAAAACCTCAGCATGCGTTTAGATTATTTTGCTGCTATACATTTCCACGCTATACGAAGCCACTTGGTTGCGCTGTCGTTTGTGGCCAGGTCGCTTCTGTAAAGGAAGATAATAGTTTCGTGGGCTTTACCTGATAAGATAAAAAAAGGTAGCTTCGTTATATACTTTGCACTCCTATTGTGTTTTTTTATTGTTTGTTGTTGTAACATTCTGAGCTGCCTCTACTGTGTGAAAAAAGCTTTATATAGCTCGTCAGATTCCTCCAGTATAAATATTCTGATAAGCAGGTAATTCACATTAATAACGAGTTGTTTACTATAGAGCTGCCCTCCTTGACGATTTCTCAAGCGTGGTTTTATGTGCAGTGAAAAGACTTTCATCACTTCTCATTTGAAGGGGCACCCACACTGGCAGCATCTGTCCCGTTACGGCATGTGGTTGACTCAGCACCTGGCATGAGTCTGAAGCCAGTAGGGGACAATGATTGCTTTGTGGTCTAGCCTAGGGGGCACCCCCAGGGACAACTCTTCCTATGCGGCACAATGTCACTCAGCATGTGGTCTGCGAGAGGGCACTAGCCTGCCAGTAGGGGGGGGGGGGGCGGCGTTGATTGGCTACGTGTCATCCCGATCGAATCATTTTCAGTGTTAATTTGATCTAATTGGGAAATTTGGGCGGTGATTCCAGCACCACACGATGGTCTTTTTACCCACTTGGAATGACAATGCGGTTGATGTTTCACGTCCACTGTGAAGTCGTGATATTAGCCAGGCCCGCCTGCCAGTTTCGAGCCACAAACCTCTGCAACAAGCGGCACAAAACGCTTCACCGCCGGGCTGCGTCATCGCCGGCTACTGCATTGTGTGGCGCTTTCAGATGCTCTTCTGCGGCCGTCTGGAACACTCTCCCTTACCGATATTAGGAGGCCACTGGAGCAATACGCTTTTAAATAATCTAGGTTTGAAAGCTAATTTCTTGAGAACTGCTTTTTGCGTTCAGTTGGTCCTTCCTCCCCGCACCTACGATAATGACGGTTGGCTATGTACGGCGCGAAGGAAGTTCAACGTATACGTACGCACATCTGATGACGGCCGCGACTGCGTTGTCGCGCAGAGCGGGGAGCGCCGCGAGGTGCTGCAGTTCCACTACACGGCGTGGCCGGACTTCGGCGTCCCGTCATCGCCCGCTCGCTTCCGCGCCTTCCTGCAGGCGGTGCGCGCATCGGGGGTCCTGCACAGCCGCCATGGCCCCACGATTGTGCACTGCAGCGCCGGCATCGGTCGCTCCGGCTCCTTCTGCCTCGTCGACGCCTGCCTGGCACTGGTAGGGACAGTAAAACGCGTTGGTGGCGGCGGCGGTGGTGGTGGTGTCAGCTTGTCTGTGTGTGTCGTGGGGAGCGGTAGTGTAGCGGTTAGCGCTACGCTGCGCTATGAACCTGGCGACCCGGGTTCGATTCCCGCTCACGGCCAACACCAGTGACGATTATCTGAACCGGCCCCGGGCCTCCCCTAGGTCGACTCAGCCTCAAATGAGTACCTGGTGCGGTGTGTAAACATCGCCACTAGGGAGACAAAGGCGGTCGGGCGTGGTGCTGGCCATCCACCCCCTCGTGTACCGTTCCGGCCTTCATAGGTGCTCGCTAACAGCACTTGCCCCTACAGTCTGTTAAGGCTATACGGGGGATCTTTGTACATGGGTGTGCGTGTGTATGTATGTGAGGAGCGGTAGTGTCACGGTTTTAACGCGCTGCGCTACGAACCCGGTAACCAGAGTTCGATTCCCGCTCACAGCCAACACCAGTGACAATTACCTGAGCCGGTTCTGGGCCTCCCCTAGGTCGACTCGGCCTCAAATCAAAACCTGGTGCAGTGTGTAAACATCGCAACTGGGGAGACAAAGGCGTGGTGCTGGCCACCAAACCCCCTCATGTGCTGCACCAGGCTTAATTGGTAAAACCGGAGGACCCCGGAGAAAAAATCCACACGACCACAGGGTCGTGCAAACTCCAAATATGCAGGTGTCAGGGTCTGTATCGAACCCACGACCTCCCGTACACGAGGCGAGGTAGTTAACATCTCACCACCGTGGCGCCCGATGACCTTCCAAGCGATCTTGGCGAGGGAGGGTGGGCGATTTGTTGTGCTTTGTTACGCTCCCATTTGTCGCCCTCCTCCGCTCTCTTGCAGCTGTCGGAGCGAGGCGAGGTGGACGTGCGAGCCGTGCTGCTGTCGATGCGACGCGCCCGAATGGGCCTCATCCAGACCGCCGACCAGCTGCGCTTCTCATACCTCGCCTTGCTGGGGGAAGACACGCACTCCCAGGTGAGCATCACGGCCATGCCGCCGCCGCCGCCACTGCTGCTGCTACATTTTAAGTTTGCATGCGTTATGCTTTTTTTCGCCCAGGAGAGGTTCGCTGTGATCCCACAATGGGGAACAGTGGTGTAGCGGTCAGCGCGCTGCGCTACGAACCCGGCGACCCGAATTCGATTCCCGCTCACGGCCAACACTGGTGACGATCATCTGAACCGGTCCTGGGCCTCCCCTAGGTCGACTCGGCCTCAAATGAGTACCTGGTGCGGTGTGTAAACATCATCGCTGGGGAGACAAAAGCGGCCGGGCGTGATGCTGGCCACCCACCTCCTCATGTGCCGTGCCGGCCTTCATAGCTGCTCGCTAACAGCCCTTGCCCCAATAGCCTATTAAGACTGTACAGGGATCTTTGCCTTTGATCCCAGATAATTTTTCAATTTAACGCCAGTTAAATTGTGTTGGGTTTTTTTCTTGCTGAGGGAGGAAATCAAACAACCCGGGAGGAAATCCATCCTGAAAATAGGGGGAGAATATGAAACTCCACGCAGAAAGGTGCATGAGTCAGGAATGGAACCCAGGGCCTAGTTACCTTGATCAGACGTGTGGCGGAAGGAAAACAAATGAGACTCATCCTTGTCTCTTGTGAGCTGGTTGAACAAACTTGTAACGGGCGCGCAATAAGTACGTGAAACGTTCGCGTGAAGCTCGCACTGCTTTTGTTTGACCAGTTGAGTACTCAAAAGAGAACAGGATGAGTGTCATTGGCAAGGGAGACCTCGGTTGCCACAGTGGCAGAAGCTACAAGACGAAAAAAAAAACTGAGTACGACAATGAAAGCGAATAGAAATATGAGCAAATGAAACAAAATTTACGTTGTTTTTTTTTTTTGTTTAATTCCTGGCAGGACGACGACAACGACAACGACAGTGACGGTGAAGATGAGGACACCGAGATGCTTCGCCTCACCCCGCTGCCACCCCCCCCAAACACCCCACCGCTCCCGCCCCCCCGCCGCTCGCTCGAACCTACGTCGCCCCCCTTCTTCCCGGCAACCCCAGAGGGTAAAGCAGACCCCCCCGGACTCCCCGCCAGACCCCTGCCGGGCCCGGCAAGTGAAATGCCAGTGGACGGGTGCGTTAACGGACAGTCGGACGGGCCGGCCGACGCACGGGAAGAGGTAGAGGCGGGCGGAGGCGCACAGGGAGACGCGCAGATTGGGGGACGGGGAGAGCCGCCGGTGGGCGAGCTTGCCGACGAGCGGGCAAAGCCGCGAATGGACGATTGCGTGGACGCCCGGAGGGATCCGCGGACAAACGGGCGAGCGGACAGACGGGACGAGCTGCCGCCGCCTCCGGCGGGCTCGGGCTTGCAGGGAGACGCAGGCGCAGATAACGGACGGGGAGAAGTGCGGGCGGGCGAGGGCGAGGCCGAGGCCGGGCGGGAAGACGCAGCAGGGGACGGGCTGGGAGATGTGGATGGGAAGCCCAGGCTGCGTGCGGTCGGACAGGCGGAGCGCCGCGTCGGCTCGCGCGAGAATCGGCGCGCGGACGGGCTCTTCGCGGGCGGGCCCAACGGCAATCCGGTGCAACAGGTGGACGAGACCCCACAGGTCCGCGGCAGACGCGCTGCACCGTACCCGTTGCTGTACCAGCTGGCCGCGGTGATTTTGCCGGCCCTGCTGTTCGTCGCTTACCGTGCTTTGTTTGCCGAGCGGCGGTGATGGTTGGGTGGGTGATGAGGTTTTGGGGGGGTGGTGGGGTGGGGGTGGGGGGGGGTTACAGGGAAGGGGTGGGGGGCGGTGACTGTTAACAATGACGACTTGTGCCGCGCGTCCTTCGACGTGGTGCGCCCGGCGTCCCGCTCCTCGCCTTTTGAGAGCTTCTTCGGCGCTCGATTTCAGTCGCTGATGGGGAGCCGCACTCGCGTCACCGTTCTGCTCCGAGGCTGAAAAAAAGCTTTTCCGTGGCACGCCAAGCGAAACGTCGGCGTACGTTGCGCCGAACGGCAAGAGGTACGGCCCAAAATCGCCGGAAGAGCTGAGCTGGGACACTGTGGACGATGCCCGAGCAGGTGCGCAGGGCCTTGACGACGGTGGGGATGACGACGCCGAGGATGAGCTGCAGTGACCGTTGCGCTGGCTGCGTTACGGGGACAGCGGCGGCTGCAGGGGACAAGGAGAAAGATTCCCGTGCTCACAGCGGCGCAAATTGAACTGTGGCCGTGAACAGTTTGATCGTTTATACCATTATGCTCATTCTTACAGAGAATGTGTTAACGCGTGCAACGGGTTCCATCGCTCATTCATGCGCCCACACCCTTGCCCCTGAATGGCTCTTGCATTAAGGAATGCACATCAATGAGTTAACGAGGCTACGGCGGGCTCGTCGAATCACGCGGGTGGGTAGGGACGGCCATGAGCCGTCACTCGCCCGGTAATCACGGCCACGTTAATGACGCAGTGTTCGTACAAGCGCGCCTTCGAGATACTGGGGAAAATGCCGAGTTGAAGGGTGGGTTGGGCCGGCACCCCACTAAATCCATCCTCTTTACAAATCCAGATGTGTCCATGAAGGACAAATGTTACCCATTTACAATCATGAAATTTCTGTTGTTATTATTACGATGGCTTTTTTGTATGAAAATGGGAAGAAAAAAAAACAATGTAAAGATATAACCACTGCAAAAAAAAAATCACCAAAATGTCACAAGCCAATTCTGGACCTGCACGCTCCAAAATGACAAAGCTCCGTCGCTGCAGGACTCCGCTGTGCAGGACTGCGCCAGGGCAGCACAGTCTCACGGTAATGTTCCGGTGCAGCCGGTGTAATTGTGATCGTAAAATATATCCAACGTTTCTATCATAATTTTGGGTCCCCCCCCCCGCTCCCACGACACACTGCACATTGCTAGACGGCGACGATGCACAATTTCTAGCCTAGGTCACAAGTGCGCTCCTCGCCTGCAGGCGTAGATAGTTCTACCTCTAAAAAGGTCAACTCGTAAATCAGCCTATTGTTTTGAATACTCTACGGAAATTGTTTTAACGCAGTGCAGCGTCGCATATCCGACCCGATCAATGAACCACCCGTGCAGTAGCTGTGCATGGTTGTAACAAGGTAATAGTTTCCACAGGTTGTAACAAGTCCCGACCTTTTCGCAAAAGTATTCTGGTAACAATTTCCCTGCACTTATATAACACTTGGCTTAATAGACCCCCAACAACTCAAGGCACCTTGCATCGCAACGCATCTCAACCATTCGATGGGCCCACCCCCCTTCAGCGGCAGGCTGTCCCTGTGAGTCGACGCAAAGCGACTCCGTTGTTCTGCCAGTGGGTGAGCGCCGATTGCAATGTTGCCGTCTCAATGGGGCACTTCCTTAGCGTGCATTCGTTTCTCGGGCACAGTCAAGGGTTTCCCCCCCCCCCCCCCCGCGTTAAATCGAGCTGCACTTGAAATCATCCCGTGACCCATTTCGCGCGCACGTGTGGTGCGAATTCCGTGCCACGTAGACGTCCTTCGCCTCTGCCCATGTGCCAGTCCCCTAACGAGTGGGATATGTGACGCTGTATTGTTGGTATATATATTTTTGCACTGGCTTTTTTTGTTTTATCCCCCCCACCACCACCCGCACGCAGCAGGGATAATGCACTATGCAGGTTGGAGGGGGCTTCGCGCTTGCCCGCTTAAAACCGGGCCTAACACCCGAGCTAATCCGTCCCGTAGCCAAATCGCGCAACTCGCCAGGCCCACAACTCCTTTGCCCACGTCTCCGCGAGGAGTTTGCGGCTACCTAACGGCTCTCGAAAATGCGTCACCCAATCGATCGCCTGCAACTGCTTTTTCCCCCACTTCTCGGCGAGTAGTAGATGCGCCGACAACAACAAAAAATGTAACGGCGCTTGTATTCAGGATTGCGATAAGTTGATTATCAAACGCAGTTTGTAAATGCGTCACGCGACGGAACGCATCGCTATGCATCACCGAGCAGGTCGCCTGGAAGGCGAAGTCTGTGCTCTCATCCAAGCATGAGCAACCGATTGCAGAGACACGCCCACATAAAGCAATTTAGTTGTGTGCATCCAACCTGCTCGGCGTGTGAAACCGGTGTTAAGGGTCTGTGCTCGTGTTGCTTGCCTCATAATCGACAGGCCCGGGTTGGGTCTTGGTGCGGGTAGCGAGCTTTGTTGTTGGAGGGGTTGGGCCTGGGTGGTAAGCTGCGGCGTAGGGTTGGGTTTTTTAATCGATGAGTTCACGCATTCCTACCGACGGAGCAAATGTTCCCGTAGTCTACATGTTAAAAAGAACATTTTGGAAAAAGTAAGACGCACCCCAAACGTGTGCCTAGTGGTCAATAAAGTTATACAAATGTCTGGTCAACAACAGCTGCCATTAACATAGCACTTGTACCAGGCTAGGTGCACTTTTAGACCACGTCAAGTGTGGAAGGCTCACTGGCAGGAGGTCATGGGACAGGCCCAGGTGCCATGGGTTGATTGATTTTTTTTTTTAGCCGCCCGGTGCTCCACACATTGTAGTCAGCGTCACTCCTCCATTGTTGTTGGAGGGCAAAGCCTTCAGCTTCCCAGTAGCGTCCTTGACGAACCACTCCCACAGAGGCTGATCTTGACACCACTGGTGTCACTCATCAGCAAGTCCAATCAGATCCACATTCTCCCGTATCGCATCAGTCCATCTCATCTCCAGCCTGTGCCTTTCCCGTTTAGTTCCCTCTGTCCGACCAAACAGAAGCTGCTTGGGCATACAGTGGCTGGGCATGCAGGCTACATGCGTTGACTGTTAATCCAGTCAATGCAGCCTTGCCTGCTGGAGGAGCTCACTGATAGGACTATGTCCATTCCAGTCTGGTTAAACCCAGGATGGATTGTATGCAGGCCAGCCTCAATATTTGGAGCCGATGCGGATATACTTTTCAGGGCTCCACATTTTGCAAGCATAGAGAAGGGAGGGCATAACTGTCCGAAAAAGACCTAGAGCTTTGTTTGAAACTATAAGCCGAGTAGCTTTCACACAGTGTTTCGTGGCTGATGAATAGATTATGCTGCTCGACTGATTCAGAGTGAGACTTCCACTTCTAAACCAGAGTTGGCCGTAACCACACTGCCCCGATATGGATACGTTCCACTCAATACACAACTGCCCCATCACTGATGGGGAGTTGAGTTGGTTGGCTGGCATATTTGATGTCATAAAATATCCAGGCAGGGCTAATGGTAAGGCCCCAGGTTCAACAGCAGAGTCTTCAACGACTTCTCAGAGTGAACAAAAAATACAAGTTCATCAGCATAACTGACATGGATGACTAATAGGGAGCCATTCCTTAATCGAACCCAGGCATCGATCAGCCCCCGATTGTACCTGTACCAGATGGAAAATCCCCTAGTACAGCCATTGAAAGTGTCTTGAACTAGGTGGTTAAAGAAGATGTTAAATAGTGTAAGGGCCAGAGAACATCACTGTCGCTCAACAAGGTGAACAGAAAATGGCTTTGACTAAAAATTGACCAGGGCCTGCATGAAGGTTCTTAATGATTGTGAGCAGTGTCAGGGACCCTGTAAACATGAAGAATAATAAAAAACCCTGGCCTTGAAGATATCATAGGCCTTGACTAGGTCAATACAGAAGAGATGTAGGTCCTGTGGACATTCCGTAACATCTCTGGTGTAGACGATGAGACGGAGAATTTGGCGTCTTTGCAGGAACGCCCTGGTCTGAAACCACAATGGGGTTCCACAGGCCTCTCCTCGGCAAAGGGGATGTTGGTTACTCATCGTCAGGATATTTCCTGGCATAGAGAGAGATGCCGTGATGGTAGTTGCAATCATTGGGCATCCTTCCAATCCTGCAGAACCCATTCTGTGCACCAGACAGTTGCAATGATATATATAGGGTAGCCTGCACACAATCCTCCCACGGCAGTTTGCTTGAGAGGTCATCACTGCCCGGCGCTTTTTCTGGTCTCAGGCTCTGGATCACCCTACGTACTTCCTCAACACATGGCACATCAGCCAGCCGCTCGCAGGGAGCGGCTACTTCCTCTTAATATTTGAGGCATGGCAGCCCAAATCAGGGTCAACCCCATCTTTCAATTATCTATCTTGATTTGAAGCTTTCGTGACTGCAGGAATCCATACTCTCTGGTGCTTTCGGTAAAGTCACGTAGGTAGAAAAAATAAAATAATATATCACGACGTTTCGATCGCAACACAAGCAATCGTCATCAGGTGGGACAACCACGGCAAGAAAAAAAACTGCTGAAGTGGGCCACGGCAGATCTCTCGCCTACTTCAGCTGTTTTTATTTTTCTACCTACGTGACTTTACCGGAAGAACCAAAGAGTATGATATTATCTGAGCCGAGGGGTTTCCTTTTCCCCAAGACTTAAGAAATTATCTGCAAACCTGCAGACCTGTTGCTGGGGGGGGGGGGGGGGCAGGTGGGGGGCCAATCACCTTTTTTCCCCCTTAATGGTGGTGGCAGGTGTGGCGCTGCAAGTTTTTGTTAATGGAAGTAATGAGTGAATTGTGGTCGTGCGCCACCGAGGCAGTTTCCATCTCAAAGACATTGGCATACTAACACTCGCACTCACAAAGACAAGACAAAGTCACACAGCTCAGCTACTCGGATTATGTGACGCACGACCTCCTACGTTTGCTTTGAAATACGGCGGGGGGGGGGGGGGTGTTGGGAGTGTGTCTTATAATCCAGAGAATTCAGTGTACTTATTTGTGAATGTACGTGAACGTTTTTCGACTTTTAAGTCCGTAGGAAACACTGAAATGTGGACCAAATGTTTATGCATACAGAATGTACGATCCCTTCAGATCTTGGAAGCTAAGCAAGGCCGATAACACGTGCTACGACATGCGTGCGAGCACGATCGTCATTACATATGTCAGATTATGGGTGAAGCGTTGGCGCAGTGGTTAGCACGCTGCACCACAAACCCGACAAACCCAAGTTCGAATTCCAGCCACGGGCAACATCAGTGATTAGTCACATCTGAAACTGTTCCTGGCCTCTCCCTTCGCCGACGCACACTTGGTCGGCGCGGTGAAGTATGGTCAAACATTGCCCTCGACCAACATTGCACGGGGAGGGCTTCCCCTCCGTGAGTGGTTGGATGCATAGCTGTATAAGGACTTATTACACAAGATAGTGTTAACACAAAATAATGGAACCTATAAAGTAACACAATAAGCTGCCAGATCGCCTCCACTTATCTGCCCTTCCATGAAATTTAATTTAAAAAATGTACTCATCCCATCCGCCACGCGGAATTCTGGTAGCGCATAATTTCAGCAGCATTGGTTCAACTTAAGCAAAACTCTGTGCTGCATTTGACATAGCGTCTCATGAGCAAAGCCAGACTTGCTTGAACATATGCTGGTGAACTGCATGATGCTTACTTGTAGATAAGTATCCAATGGGTGATTGTAATATGATATATATTTACATGCATAGCAGTAGACAATTGTATATAGTTGCACGTATACACGTGCACGCATTCGTTTGCGTGCGAACAAAAGGTCAAACATTGTGGAGAACGAGATGCTTCGGGAATAGATCATGCAGACCGCCCCAGTGTTAGCATTAATCTCATGGTGATGAACGTCATTTATTTACCCAGCAAAGGGTCTCACGAGGTTTTCAGTTATCTCTTTCAGGAGGCTCCGTCGCTTGCGCTGTTTTGTAAAATTGCTAAATGTTTCAATTCTGAAGAGCTCAAACGATTTCTTTCATTTTCCGAATTGCAATTATTCGTTAGCCTCTTCCCCGCACCTCACGATTACAGCGCGGTTGGCTGTGTACGGTGCGAAAGGAGTTCAACATACACATATACAGGATACAACATTTATTGTGATTTCTAAGAACACTGCATGTGTGAGAAAACTCGCTGGGGCACCGCAAAAAAAAATAAGCCCACAGCGTGCAAGGGAATGCCACTCAAGCATTCGCGAGACCATTCGCTGTACTGTCATCTCCTGAACCACCTCACAGTCTTTCTGTGTATATGATCGATGAAAGTGCAACGATTTCAGTGGCATCTGTGCAGTATGCAGATTCATGTTTTTGGACACCAACCCCCTCCCCCCCCCCCCTCAAATTGCATTCCTATTGTGCTCTTGGGCGTTGCGTGGTGAAACTCAACATCCGCTGTGACCCCGCGCTCACAGCGGTGCATGCGCGTGTGTTGAACTTCTTTCGCGCCGTCCTTTCGCCAACCTTGCTAACTGTAGGTGCGGGGGAAGGACAACTAAACACGAAAAAAAACAGTTGTAAAGAAATGTGTGTTTCAATATAGATGTAAAGGTGCATAGCTCCAGTCGCTTCCTAATATCAGAAGGGAGCGTTCCAGACGGCCACGGAAGCGTATCTGAAAGCGCACGCTGCGGTGACGAGATGTTAACTCCCTCGCCCGGTGTACAGGAGGTCGTGGGTTCGATCCTGACCATGATCCTGACGACTGTGTATTTGGAGTTTGCATGTTCTCCCCGTGGCCGCGTGGATCTTTTGCCTCCAGGTCCTACGGTTTTTGCCCTCCACATTTACAAACATGCGTTTGAGAGTATTTGGCTGCTTGACATTTCAACAGCGGCCACTTCGTTGAGCTACCATTTGTGGCCAGGTCGCGTCTGAAAAAAGAGCTGCGTAGGTCGGTGGGCCTTACCTGGTGAAATAGTTTAATGGTTTTAGTTTAATATTGCAGAACTACTTCTGACCCCTTCCAACGAGTGACCTCTTATTGACACGTGGTGGGGGGGTGGGGGTGGGGGCGCTGCACGTTTCCACATGCCCTGCTGCAGCGTGTAATGGTCATCGCGTGGGCAGTCGGGCCGAATTTATTTTCCATTTGAGCCGGAATTATTGCCAAGTTACGTAAACAAGCAAACGTGAGGCTTTCTGCGTGCGCGTTCATCGGTGGCTGGACTAGAGGTCAACAATCTGCTGAACAGGAGGAAGGAAGCGATGTCGTGGGATGGTGGCATCGGCAGCACTCGTTGAGATCACGCCCTTGAATAAAGCCAAGAGTAGTGAAGTAGTTACAAAACATCCTAAACAGGATACGTTAAAAGGACAATCTCGCGTTAGGATGCTTGAAATATGTGGTGGAGGGTCTAACCACTGTTTTTGTTTTGAATAATTTTTTGGTCTTCCCCCCCCCGCCCCAATTTATTCCAATTGTGCTTTTTGTTTGCCATGAAATGAAAAATCATTCATTAAACTCGCAAAGCAGTGCAGAAGATTTTTTTTCTCCAGGACCACCCGAACACTCAATGGAGTGGCCTGTTTATCTTTTACACAGGAGATGGCCCACGATCCCCACACTCTGCTTGATATTGTCACGTAACATTTAAACTGTAAAAAAAAAAACATTTTAGCCAAGTCACAAAATCAAATTTCACACGGAAGCTTTTTTTTTTAGCAGTCATTAGTGATGAGTCTGAGACCATCAACCCCTTACACCTAAAGCCCGTTTGATCACAACTCAATTAGCTAAGTCAGACATGGGCAAAGTACGGCCCCCGGGCCGTATACACGGCCCCCGGGCCGTATACACGGCCCGTTGGGCTTTTTAATCCGGCCCGTCGAACTTTGTCCAAATATTATTATTCAATTACATTTTACCTTTCTCCTGTAATGCCCCATTTCCGCATTAGATGGCGCACTTTGCCTTGCAAATAAATGCTTTGCTACCTGTTAAAGGCCAAATCCTTTCATGTAATGATTTTTTCATGTCATTTATATTAGTTCACACAAACACTCCATCCATCTGTTCCTGGCCCGGCCCCTCTGTCAAATTTTAGAACCCATTGTGGCCCGCGAGTCAAAAAATTTGCCCACCCCTAAGCTAAGTCTATGGGTTATTTATGAATGTGTGAGTGTATATAAGTCATTGGTGACCGGTGGGGAGCGGTAATGTAGTGGTTAGTCGGGTGCGCCACCAACCCGGAGACCCAGTGACGGTTATCCAAACTGATCCTGGGTCTACCACTAGGTCGACTTGGCCATAAATGAATACCTGGTGCGGTGTGTAAACATCCACATTGGGGAGACATCCACCCCCCCCCCCCTCGTGTGCTGTGCTGGCCTTCATAGGTGCTCGCTAACAACACTTGCCCCGACAATCTGTGAAGGCTACACGGGGGACCTTTGTCTTTGGTGACCAGTCTAATTCCGTCAACTCTCGACATTTAAGCACCCAGTTGGGTCACCGTCGGCTGAAACCCAGATTAAAAACCCAGACCCTCAGCAGTACTCACTCAATACGGGCCACCCGGCCCACTTCCCACCTCATGCTAATTCTATGGGAGGGTTGGGGGGTGCTCCATAGAATGTGGGTCTCTATGTGTAAGCTGTCGGTGACCAATCTGAGCCCATCATCTCCACACTTGAGAGCCCCGGTGTCCTTATCACGAGTGGCTGAAATGCGGGATTCGAGCCCAGGATTTTAGCGGTACCCGCTCGCCGTGTTTGACCGGAGCCACCCGGCCTCCTGTCCACTGGTTTTGAGCGTGGTGGTAGCACGCCAATGTGGCCCTTAAACTAGACCAGTAATCGTTCAGCATTCCAATGCATTTTTTTCTAAGTGTATATTTTGTTTTGTCATCCTTAAATGTTATATTGTTCTATGTATCAATGTGGACATTTATTTTACTGGAGGACTGATGTCCCAGTGCTTATAGTCATGCGGGTCTCTTTTTTTTTACGGCACGCTTGATACCGGCAATAAATTTCTAAAAATGTTCTTTTGGGGATTTTTTTTTATTCCCTTCCAATTATTTTCTAAATGTGCTTTCAATGCGTCCATCCGAAACTCTCAGAGAGTGGTGCATCATGATCCTCCTGTTGCACAACTACTTCAAGTAACCTCTTAAATAAACAATACACCTTGCCATATCTGGCCCTCTACATACATTTAATGTACGTCTTTTTACACATCCTAGCGGCTACGCAGCTTTCTGGGAGTGATTCCAGCAGCATTGGTTAAACACAAGCAAACTTCAAACCGGTTTCAGTGTCCATTGTCTCAACAGCACAGTCCGGCTTCCTCCTGTTCAGAATCACAATCCTTGTTTAGACTGGAGGAATCCGATGAGCTATAAAGCTCTTTTTCACAGATGTCCAGTATGGACGGGTCAACAAATTACAACAGC